TGTATCTCGACATCAGAGGTGCCTTCGATTCTTTTGATCGATGTGCCCTTTGTAATTGTCTACTCAGGAAAGGTGTGCCCGAGAAATATGTAAATATTATCCAAGCATTATGCGTGCGTAGCACGGGCAGAGTGAGGGCTTACGGCAAGCTGTCGTCACCCTTCAATATCTCCAGCAGTGTGAGACAGGGATGCCCGCTGTCACCTTTCTTTTTCAACTTCGCTATTGACGAAGTCATGGAGATTGCATTTACAGGACATGACTTGGAAGGTGTGGAGCTACTCCCAGGAGAACGACTTCTTGACTTGGAGTATGCAGACGACATTGCTCTCATCTGTGACAGCTCCCAGAAGTGCCAAGCTGCACTGGACAGATTAGCACTAGCTGTCAGCCGCTTCGGGCTTTGCTTTGCACCATCGAAATGCAAAGCGTTCCTCCAAGATTGGCAGGGATCGCCTCCTACGCTGACCGTTGGTGGGGATCAGCTAGAAGTCGTTCGGAAATTCAACTACCTGGGAAGTTGTATCAGCGCCCTTGGGATCGAAGAGGAGATCACGAACCGTATAGCATCGGTGCCTTCTCAGTTTGCTTCACTTCTGGTGGGAACGCCGCGTGAGTAAGGAGCGTGTTCGACGCCTTGTTTACGGCACAGAAAAAGGATCTGAACCGCTCAGCACCGTCATTTCACGCACCAGGCTCCGATGGCAGGGTCATGTGTTGCGCATGCCAGGTCACCGACTTCCACGATGTACGTTGTTTGCTCACCGGGGATGTGGATGGAAGAAGAGAAGGGGCGGCCAAACGATGACTTTGTCCAGAGGAATGCAGGCCCTCACTTCGGAGCTGACCTCCGTTGGAGCGTCACGGCTCCCTAGTTGGGGTCCAAAAGACGGTGAACACGTTTGGCTGGATACACTTGCTGACATGGCTAGGAGCAGACCTCAGTGGCATTCCTGCTGAGAGTTTCTTTGTCGCTCCCCATCCTTTTTAGCCTCCTCCTCCACCTACGATCTTATTTCGCAGCGTAAAACGTAATCATTTTTCTTTTTGCCTAGTGGCCGGTTGTTAACCTACCGGAACGATACCAATCCGTTACTGGTAGCTCAGCTGGCATACAGCTGTTGTATTTATTTTCCTTTTCCTTTATGTATTGCGGCACAGTAGCTGAGGTGTTTCCCACCTCTGGCTGACGTGTATAATGATGATGATGACTGCCGAGTTAGAGTCACAAGGACAATTAGCACTTTTGGTTAGATACTTTTGTTGGCATGGCAAAGAACCGGCCTCTGGCGCTTCGATCTTCAATTCATTTGCAAGCCTTACCGTTTACAGAGACTCGATCACTCAATTTAGTTGAAGAACTATGCTTCAATCACTGATGTTCTGTGGCTCCGGTTACCCAAAGTGTTTCAGTGGATTTTTTCGGTACGGTCATTGAATGTATGCGTATGTGGAGATGCGTACCAACTCCCTCCATGAGCATACGCCCACCGCTCACTATTTTAAGCATAAATGGGGAACATGTTGTGTACTCTTCATGCATCCACATGTTTCACCAACTACCTGGTTACGTCCTGTGAGGACTTTGACTTTAGCGCTTGGCTGGACGTACGATTCCGATTGCGTTCTGTACCACATCCCCAACTTCTTGCCATGCATGTTCCACTTTGGGTGACTATGTTTATTGTTGCCTCGAGATTTGTTGTTTGTTGATTTTTGTTTCTTCTTTTTGACCTCCATAGCGTTTTTCTTGTCTACTTAGCATATTTATGCGACTCTGCACGCACTACTGTCTAAAGCTGTGTTTCACAAGGAGCGGAGGCAACCAAGCACTTGAGATAGATATCCCCTCTGCTCTCATCGTGCGTCATGCGTTTTGGAACATACGGATTTCCAATTGAAACAGTGGTGCGGTTTTTATTTGCATGATTCTTACTCTGCTGCGCATCGATAGAACCCTGTGGTCCTTGCACGATGCTGAACAAACCCCTTTCCGGCCGGCGTTGATATATTGAACAACTACTTTTCTGTCGTTGCCACTGCTTTTACAGGTTGCTTCCTTCTATCCTTTAGAGTGCAACGCACACTTCATCCGTCGCCGGCTCACCGAAACCACAGTCTTGTTTGTGAATACTCAACTTCAGAACACAAGGAACGCATGCATCTGTGCTGATTCGTACCCCCCAACCTGGGGTTGAGTCTAGCCTCGGCCGGTGGCCGAGTGGTCGGCACGTTTGCTTTCCAACCATAAGGTCACCGGTTCGAATCCGCGTAGGGGTGGGCGTCCTCGCGGTATACACAGCCCGCGCGCGACTGGTGGTGGTCGCGCGGCAGCGAAGCGCCGTTACGGCGTATAAGCTGACACATTTCATTTTTTGTTGTTGTATCGAAGCATAGCAAGAAGAACCAACATTTTGCTCTGTATACGGAATTCAGTCTATTTCCACATATTCTCAATCAGCCGCATACATACATACTGTGGCAGGATTTAATGAGTATACGTGGCAAACAATCAATAAGAGTAACCAATTTGAAACTATGGCGATCATGGTCATCGCTCCCAGTGAGTGAATCTATGCCTTACCATATCAATACTAGGCTGCCCATGAGGTTGCCTTGTTTGCACAGGTTGGGCTTCAGCCGCCGACACAGTTCTACACTCGGTACATAGATGACCCTTTTTTGTCGTTGATACTGCTCAGAAGGCGGAGTGCATGTTGGAAGAACTAAACCAATATCCTCATGGAAACGGACTCGGGAGAGACTTGTCACTTCTTCGATGTTGCTTTGAGGCATAGACCATGTGGATCGCTCATACGATCGATTTACCATAAACCGAGCTGAACGCAACAGTATCTAAACTTAAACAGCTACTGCTCGATGAACTATAAGCGATCATTGTTTCGCACTTGTTTCATGAAAGCTCGTCGAATCTGTTCGGAGAATCGATTATAAGTGAATTAGAGCGCATTGTATCAACACTACGAGATAATGGGTACCTAAGTAATTTCCTCGTTAGATTTGCGGAAGAGAATATCCGGCAAATAAAACAACCTGATGTTCCCAACAAGCTGTTCATTACCCTGTCTTTCAATAACAAACAAATTGATAAGCGCAATTCGGATAAGTCAACTACCTATCCGGAAAAGCACCAGACGGCCGGTTCGCCCTATTGGGGCTCGTCAGTGGTGCGCATCCTTCGGTCCTCTAGTGAGGATCGAACCCATGACTGCTAGTGGCTTGTGCCAACTAGCCCGCTGCTTATGCAACTGAGCCATGGAGGACGGTAGCCGACCACCACGAATTGTTAGTTAACTGCGACATAGCCCGACCCATCCCCCACTGTCACGCAGGCACCTGCCATGCAGATGACAGCGGTTGGCCTTCCGGCGTCAGGACTTCCCGTTTACGGCAGCTATGAATCGACATAGCATTTATGGGTCGGGCTATATCGCAGTTAACTAACAATTCGTGGTGGTCGGCTACCGTCCTCCATGGCTCAGTTGCATAAGCAGCGGGCTAGTTGGCACAAGCCACTAGCAGGCATGGGTTCGATCCTCACTAGAGGACCGAAGGATGCGCACCACTGACGAGCCCCAATAGGGCGAACCGGGTTCTGCGATTAGCTACGTCAATCCGTACTTAGATACCATTATGCAGCTTACCTAGTGCTTCTACACCAAACCCGGTAGTTGCTGCATGAATCCGACTTAGACAACCTCGCCATCAACTCATCGCTTCTTTTGTTTACCAGTTTAACTCTACCCGCGATAGCATGTACATCGGCTTTATTGAGAAAAGGTGATCGATAAGGCTTATGAAACACGTTCCCCGAAGCCTAGCGATAAGCGGTCCTAAGGTACCTACCAGTTCTATCACTCAACCAGTGGCCGAGTGGTCTGCGCGCCTGGTTTACAACTATAAGCTCCCCGGTTCGAGTCCGCCTTGGGGTGTGCGTCCTCGTGATAAACTCAGTCCGCGCGCGACGTGGTCGCCCGGCAGCGAAGCACCGTTACGGCGTATGGCAGACACATTACTTTTTTTATCACTCACCACCTGTTGGAGTGCACTGCGTGCGAGCATCCTCATGACTCCTTCAAGGTTATCAGCAAACATAACACTCCAACATTGTCACGATTTGCCGAGGCTTCCGCTGTCCGTCGGCTGAAGCCAAACCTGCGCAGACAACGTAACCTCATGGGCAGCCTAGCCTTGGTATGGTAAAACCAAGGTTCACTCACTGGGAGCGATGACCACGATCGGCCTAATTTCGAATTGGTTGCTCTTATTGATTCCTTGTCAAGTGTACTCATTAAATCCTGCCACTGTATGTATGTATACCGCTGATTGAAAATACGCGATATTAACGGAATTTAGTATATCCCACAAAATATTTGTTCGTTTTGCTATGTTAAAATTCAACAAATGAATTGGTTACATGTGTATTTGTTGTTGTGGTCGAACTGCTGGAGGAGCCCATCCGGTCCGGCAAGGAAGAGCATCGCAAGCGGCACACTCAGGGTGTTCTTCCTTCAAGTTTCTTAACGCAGCCAACCAAATACTTTGCACATGTCCACTCTTTTCGAATGTACGCCAGTCGTTTTCTAAGGAACCCAGTCAAGCCTGCCTTCCGTTGTCTCTGATGTGTAACATGAGTTGGGGATGGAGCGCACTTGTCCGTCGCCTGTTTGTAATGCCACGCTAATATCACATATCACTTGATAACGTTCTAGGAAATGCACTTTCCTAGCATGTATGGTCAACCCCGATTAACCAACAAATCATTTCGTACCGCACCCAAATCTATTTAGATTGTATTTTCATAGTTTACCTAACATGCGGTAACTCCCTCGGATAGGCATTGTACCTTTATGCTCATCAAACCACCTTTGGATGTTGCGTGTTTCCTATTCTTTCTGTTTATATCTGGTTGCATTAATTGTCCTTATTTCCTATACCCATTTATCCACTGATCCCGGTAGAACCCAACTCTGACAGACATGACTCCTTACGACCTTAATTTCGTCGACGAAGTGGAGTGGTTACTGCGCCCCATAGGCGACCCCGCCTACAGATCGCTGTTCGTCGAAACTGTGATGGTAATCGCTGTCATTCTCGAGCGAAACTGTGAATTGTCTTTCAAAGATACAGTTGATATAAATATGGTCATGCAGGACGCCGCAAATGCTTTCGCTCAGGATCGCAACCGCAACCAGTGAGTTCTTTCTCCTACTGCTTTACCGTTAGCACTTTTGTTACAGAAATGTTGCATGTCCCCTTAAAGTGCACCTTTTTCTCACCTAACAAAATGCTTCACGTTTGTATATCGCATTAATTACACTTTTCGTTCCATCAGCATGAATACTCTTGCTGAAATTCAGCTGTTCTCCTTCTCCTTGGTTCCCAATGCTGTTGCGGGGTCCGCCTTTGTAGTTCTCGTATGAAATACTCTGTTTGGTAGTACTCGTAGTTTGTGTTCAATATCTGTTCGTGTTGTGCCTGCATGTAGCTATTTTGCACTGAATTTCTTCCTACCAGCTCTCCACCTATTTTTCACCCAATGTGGCCCCAGACTTCGTTGTTTACTTCATCTCACTACTTGTTTTCCATTAATTAGAAGTAATATCTCTAAATCGTTTTCTCTATGGGGGTTTGAGGGTCCCTTGAATTATAATGCTCTGTTCTACAGACTGAATGGCCAGCTCAAGTCTTCCATCATCGATTTAGTTTTTGTTATAATTATCTGATGTTTTCTCCTTGTTCTCAGCTCATGCTAAGGGTCTTACCCTCTGTTACCGGTAAATTTTTATGCACGGGACTATTCCTCACATCCATGGCGTGATCATGCCCTCTTCAACCTCAATGATCTGAGTTTTTTAATACCAGGTCCTAATGTTTTTTCGTTGCGATAAATCCGCTAACCCACATTGATATGTCACAAGTGACAGGTCTATTAGCATTCGCCCAGAATTGGTGAAGCAGTCACTTTTTATCTCTCGTTCGATCTTGTTTCATGCTGAACTACTCAACTGGAACGTTTCTGGGGAAATGGCATTTGGAATACTTCATTAGTGTATGCTTATTTCCCTCCGATCTTGCTTCCTATGACGCTTTGTGCCCATCTGCCGAATAGGCTAGCCAGTAGGTCACTGTCAAATCTATGGACTCCCTTCTACATAGAGGTTCCACCGGGGCACATGTCGTCTCAAGTCAGCCAGCCTGTTTCATCTAGGCCCGTCCTACACGTTTTGTTTAGTCTCGGACTAACCACTTAACTTCATTAGGCAGTTCTTTTACTCTTCTGTTCCCTAACTACTTGTTCCATCTACACCGTGCCTGTTAAAGTCACCTAATTCCGTCTTCATTTTGCCTCCTTATAGGTCTGATCATGCAGCGGACAAGTAGGTGTATTTTCACCAACACATTTGTGCGCATGCTCGTAACCTCATGGTGATCGCCTTGTAGCGTGATTGTGCGCTCACTCGGCTGACTGGGCTCTTTTTTGCGCATTCTTTTCCCTAATGCTCTTGGTCTTCTGATCCGTTCACCGATTATGTTTACGTTACCTCGCTCTATCTGGCTTTTCCATTGGTGTATCCTTTTTTCTTTTTCTCAATTTTATTCACTAATACTGCTTTCCGCCATGCTTTCGAAAGGTTGCTGATTTAACCACAAGTCCTATCCATTCTCTCGTTTGCGGAAGCTCGGTACCTAGATCATGGTTGCCGCCGCGTATGTGCATTTTCGCTCACTGCGAACAAATCTTCCATCGGACGGCGCATGCTGCGGTCCTGCTAGATGTTTTTTGTCCTAGTACCTCCCCATTTGTGCCTACTCAGCAGTGACGCATAGCACCGTCCGCCTACATTTCTCAACGTTTTTTTGCAGCCTAGCGTTTCCTTAATGACGTCTCCGTCCACTATGGGGACAATCGGTTTACCAGTGGGTTTAATTCCACTTCCCAGCTGTTTACTGCACTGAATTCGTGTCTCTAGTGTACAGTCAGCGGCTCGATTCAGCGCAATGTTGACTGACCGATCTATTCATGGTCTTTTGGCCGTCATCTTCGTGCATTATCTGCTTACTGGATTGTTTGGTGTATCTCAGTGGTTCACTGATGGGCCACATGACCTTTTCTGCGTATCACTGCTTCTGTATTTCCGCAATCTCAACAACGACCAACCGGCTACATGCCCATACTTGTTTCCGCCATCCCAGGTCTTTCTGCCTCGTTGATTCGTCCAGTCATTTTGACCGAACGGATGCACTTTTTACTCTTCTTCTGTGCTTATGTAAGCCGTGCTCCAACAAGCCGATACCGGAGTCTCCAAGCAATGGGTTATTTACCACCCACTTCAGGTGAACCCCACGATGCGCCGCAACTAAGTGTGTTAATGCTTCCATATATCTTTTCTTTAACCGACTTATCTGATCACCTCTGAACTTA